TATTGGCATGCTGCTCTGAAGGCCAATACCAATTGTCTCTCTTATTCATTTGTGTATTGGGGCTCCTTGTGCTTTCAATGAACTAATTGTTCTCTTATATTCAATATTTGCATTTTCTAATGCCAAGATCTCTGTCAATGTACTGTCTGGTTTCAGGGTCTGATATGGTTCTATTTACAGCTGAACCCAATCGTAAGAAGTCAGTAAAGGCTTCTGCAGGGCCGTGCATTATCTTAGTAAATGAGATGGATTTTTCCCCTGGCTCCTCAATCATATCCCAAGCTCTTAAAGCAGCAACGTAACATTGTTCAATTATGACATCATCAGATCGGATTTGTACAAAGACTGGGAAAGCTGAAAGTACCTGAGTAGCCCCAGGCAAATGCTCTGGTAGTGCACTTGACTGAATACTTGCCTGTCCCTGTAGTGCCTCCTGCTCTTCCTGGCCCCTTGTCTCATGGAGGTGCTCTGGGCACTAGAAGTGAAAGTGCACGGAGCAGGACAGGGTTGTCTTCTAGCCTGGTTTGCTTCCCCCTTTCATCCTGTGGTAGATTCCTGGTCTCAGACACCAAGCCTGAACCCTGTTCTCCTCCCATTGGCTCGTTTTGCTTTCTATGAACTTCAACCTTTATCCTCACGCTCTCTAAGTGCAGAGCCAGCTCTGCAATCCTTTCTAACACCAGAGAATTGACTGAATCCTTCTGAGTTTTCAGCTTTTCCCACAATCTTTTTCAAAATGGTATACATGAAACCTGTGAACCCAAACCAGAGATCCCCCCTCCAGAAGCAAGACGGGAAACTACCCAGTGGCAGCTCCTCTTGTTTTGCCATCTTCCTTACACAACATTGCCAGCCCATCAAAACTTGCCGGTTTCCTCTACTACAGTAGTAGCAGAGTTACCCAGTATGCCTAGGCCATGTTTGGGTGCCATCTGTAGGCTTAAGATTTTTCAAAACCTACTTTGGTTGGGGTTCTTAGATGTTTCAGCCTCCCTTCTAGCCCACTGATCAGAGATAGGGGATAAAAATAGGAAAAGAGGAGTGTGGACCTGTTTAGTAGTTCATTGAGGCGATTCCACTCTTTGTTGTTAGGATACCAGTAGTTCAGTTCAGTAGCAAACACCAAACACAGATCAGTAGTCATGACTCAGTCCAACAGAAGCAGCAAGGCTTGGCTGAGTCGGGATGAGTCAGTGGAAGTGGCCAGAATCAGCCAGAATACCACAAGAGGTTCTTTGATGCATTTCTCTCTACAAAGCAAAGTCCAGAAAAGACCCGTGAAGAAGCGAAGTGTCACACAAATAGCAATGCAAGAGCATCTCTCACTATCTGTGGGGTTCCATTTATATTATTTCTAAACATCATGTGCCCTCTCAAGTATCTGTTTTCTGTAAAACATCACATGCCCTCTCACAAGACAGCTTCCAGAAAAATGTGACATGACTGAGTTGTTAAAGAAACCAGAAATTTCTATTTCAGCAGTCCCTTAGCCAGGTCTGTGGATTAACTCTAAAGGGAAGAGACACTGGCATGGCTCCTAGAGGCAATACTGCAAGTCCTGGGTGCACATTAGATTTAAAAGGCTTGGCAGGGAAAAGGCAATACAAAACTTCTCAAGCGGTTCATATCTTAACATGTTAAAGCATTCTCATTTTGGGTATCTAGAATTAAATATTATTAAACTTAAAAAAAAATTTAGCCACCAGAACAGGTAATGAAGCTATGCTCTTACCCAACTGACAGCTCTGGGCTAATTCGTAGTGATCTTGGAGCTTAAAGAATTCAGATGTATTTTGAGGACTTGTGTGAAAGTTTTGAGGCTTCTTGACTTGTTTATTACATATATATTGTATTGGTGCATGAGTGTCTGTGTGTGTGTGTGTATGTGTACACCTGTACTCTCACACACATGCACACGTGACAGGCTTAGCATGCATGTGGAGATCACCAGACAACTTGCAGAAATTGGTTTTCTCCTTTCATCTTTAGGTACATTTCTTGTCAATGAGTATTGAGATGGTTAGCTTACAAGCTACCCAGTTGTGCATCTCCTAGGCAGGTAGACCTTAAATATGTGCCAATATTTAATATATTTTTTTTTACATGGGTTCTGGCCATCAAACTCTGGTTAGATTGCCAGGTTTGTGGGACAAATGCTATTACTTGTTGAGCCATCTCACTGGCCCCATCAGTCATTATTGATAATGGTAGTTTAATAATTTAAAAACAAAGTAAAAGAGATGTCAAGTATTGTCCACAGTTCTTCAGAGTCTAAAGACCTTCACTGAGTAATAAAAAATAAAGATGTTGTAGTGAGTGAACTAGGAGACCCTGGAGTTTAAAGCTGAGAGCTTTGTATGAGTCCAGGGCCAAGATGCTTAAAGGTCTCTTCCTTCCTGGTTACCTGGTATTAATAGATGCAAACTAGTAGTTAACTGATCTTGAGATTTTCAGTTTGTTTGTTTGTTTGTTTTTTCCTTTGAGACAGGGTTTCTCTGTATAGCCCTGGCTGTCCTGGAAGTCACTCTGTAGACCAGGCTGGCCTCAAACTCAGAAATCCACCTGCCTCTGTCTCCCAAGTGCTGGGATTAAAGGCAGAGATTTTCGTTACATGCAAATTATTAAAACAACTGCAAAAAATAACTAAAGGTAAAGGATACAAGAACCATATTAATACTTTATATTAGATTAAATCATGTCTAAATTTTTATTAAAAATTTAATATACTGAATATAAAACATTGGCTGTTTTTTGAAACTTAAAAGTAAATAAGAGCCGGGCAGTGGTGGTGCACGCCTTTAATCCCAGCACTTGGGAGGCAGAGGCAGGCGGATTTCTGGGTTCGAGGCCAGCCTGGTCTACAGAGTGAGTTCCAGGACAGCCAGGGCTGTACAGAGAAACCCTGTCTCCAAAAAAACTAACTAACTAACTAACTAACTAAATAAATAAATAAATAAATAAGAAACTTCATTTGACCCGGGTGGCCTAGAGCTATACATAGGTGCTGTTATTTGTAAAAGATTATTTGATAATCTTTTCTCGTGGACTAGAAAGTAAAGTTTTCCATTTGTATCTTTATTTTATACAGCCCCCCCCCTTTTTTTAAATCAACCTATGGGGAAGAATATTTGCTTTTTGTTTGTTTGTTTGTTTTTCTGTTGAGGCCCATATAGAAGTTTTAAGTGTTCCTAACTTAGTCCTAGAATTCAGTGAGAATTCCAAGTGAGTTAAAATTCATTGCCTTTATCCTGCCATCTTGGAAGGGACTCCTACATTATGTACCACTTTGTATAGAAAAAAACTGCTGCTGGCTATGTTAATGCATGGCTGTGATCCTGGCACTTGAGAGGCTGGGGCTGGAGGGTCCATGAGTTTGATACCAGTTTGGGCTGCAGAGTGGGACCTTCGTAATAAATCATAACCAAAGCCAAGAGAACAAGTAAACCCAGATTTGTCTTTTTTTCAGAGATGTTAAAAACAGGAGTGGACCCTAGAACTGATGAAATGAAGCTCGAAAGTTTCAAAACTGACCTTGTTTGGGAGGCGGGTGCTTGCTTTAAATATTGTCACATAAGTCAGTATTGGCCTTGGGTCTTTTTAGATTGTGTCACATTCAGGGAATGTGTTCTGGTGCTTTGAATGGTGCTTTTCATTCAGTTTCTTCAATAGGCAGGTGACAGCTAAGTGGTGAGCTGCCTTTATGTGGCAGTCCCATTGTTCAGGTCACAAACTGTTTTTAGCAAGTCTTTCTGCTCCTCTTCCCACCAGAGGCACACCTCCTTCTGCAGCCTTCACCTAGCCTCTACCAAATCGCTTCTGCATAAAGGAAGCCCTTGGTGGTTATTACAGCCTCCTGGGAATTGAGAGAAGTGTTAAATTGCCCTAGGATATTTGCTTTGGAAGCCTTATCTCTAACTATCATCTAAAAATCTTTTTCTTCTTGAGAACTCTCAGGTCTCTGCCCTCCCTATGGATCAGGGTTTTTGTGGTGCAGGTTAGGGAGGAGGGGTGTGGAGATAGCTCCTCTCTGCCTCTGAGGAAGGCAGAGACAGATTCTGAGCCGATCATTCCCTTTCCCGCTACTCTCCCTGCGTATGTGTTTAGTCTGTAAGAAAGTAGGTTTCCATCCACCACTGGCTTTGTGACTGGAAGGAAAACAAACTTAACTCATAAATAGATGCCTTTCTGACTAATGCCATTGAATTTTTATCAGTTATAGCTCCTTTTGACAGGGTCTATTGAATTTTAAGGAAACTCTGTGATGCAAAGAATGTTTTTGTAGTTACCTGTTTTTCAAATCGCAGCCAGTTTCTGACCCTATGTTTTCCAAGTTTTTTGTAGTCGTGCCTACACAGATACATGTCTGGGAGGTTGTTCTTGGTTAAATAGTGGAGGTTGTCTGTGGGAATGTGGATGAAGCAGAACTCTGCCCTTATGTTTGTGGTTCACCAATCAGTTGTGAGTCTGCTGATACTTTGTAAAGGTTTTCTTTTTATATCATTAATTCCAGGTTTAGATTAATTACTTCAGTATGCATTGGTTTTTTGCTTGGATGTATGTTTGAAGGTGCTAGGTCCCCTGGAATTAGAGCTACAGACAGCTGTGAGCTGGCAAGTGGATGCTAGGAATTTAACCCTGGTCCTCTGGAAGAACAGTCAGTGCTCTTAACCGCTGAACCATCTCTCCAGCCCTAATTCCAGGTTTAGAGTACTAGATCCAAATATAAAGGCCTATAAACAAAGCTGCCTATTACCTTTAACACAGGGTGTATTAATAATATTAATGTAGCAATGCTTTCATTATTATAATAGCTTTGAAATTTTCATGGAAAATTTTATCCACTAAATTTCCTACAGTTAATCTCAACACAAAGCAAATGTTATTTATAGTTCTGAATTCTGTATAGAAGTGTATTTTGTGGTAGTTTCTTAAACATGCTCAGATTGTATCTTCTAAATGTGTGTATGTGTTTGAATGACTTTGACTTTTGATCTTTGCAGCTTGGGGTCTGGTTTTCTCTAGGCTGTGCCTACTTGGCCTTGGAAGACTATGGTGGATCTGCGAAGGCATTTCAGCGCTGTGTGACCCTAGAACCCGATGTAAGTTTGTTTTGCCCCCCTTCCCTGTTTCAGCTCCTTTGTCTTTAAGTTACCTGAATTGTGCTGCATTTAGAGTAGCTGGGCTAATTTTTTCTACTTACATTAGTATTTTACAGCCATCTGTGCTGTAATCTGCATTGATGCTCCATTAACTTTTTATTGACGGGTAATCTGCCCCTGTTAGGGCAGATCACTAGTATCCACTTATCAGTTGATGACATTTGCATCTTTTCTGCATTGGTGCATTTCTGAAATGCTTCTGCCACTAACATTTATTTGCCAGTGTTTGGTAGACTTGTGTTTCCTTTCCTCGAGTATATGCTAGTGAGCTGTTGGATCATGTGGACAAGTGTTAGAGGAACTGGCAGACTTTTCCAGAGGACCTTTTTAATATACTCGCCAGCACTGAATAAGGATTCCAGTTTCTCAACATCTTTGCCATCACTTGCTACTTTCTCTTGGGTAGTATCTCATGGCTTCAATATATATTTCTTAATGGATATTATTTGAATATTTTTGCATTTGTTTATTGGCTGATTTAGTGTCTTTGGGGAATGTTTACTCATATCCTTTTCCCATGTAAAAATTGTTCGTGATTGTTTAGTTGTAAGGATTCTTTTTGTATTCTAACTATAAGGTACCTTATGAATGGTAGATAATGCCCTTTTTTGTGTTTTTACTTTTTAATAAAAATTTATTCTGTGTATACAAATGTTCTGCCTGCATGTCTGTATGTGCACCATGTGTGTGCCTGGTGCTTGCATGCCGTAGAGGTCAGAGGAAGGCATGGGATCTCTGGCACTGGAGTTACACATGGTGTGAGCCTCACGTGGGTTCTGGGAATCAAACCTAAGTCCTCTGCAAGAGCAGCCAGTACTCTCAATTGCTGAGCCATCTCTCCAGCCCCTTCTCACTTTCTTCATAGTGCTCTTTAAAGTATAACAATTATGCATTTTATTTTATGTGTATGGATATCTTGCTAGCACATATATCTGTGCGTTTCATGCGTGCCTAGTGCCCATAGAGGCCAGAAGAGGGCGTCAGATCCCCTGGAGCTGGCATTAGAGACAATGGTGAGCTGCCATATTGGAATTAGAGATTGAGCCTGGGTCCTTTGCAAGAGCATCAAGTACTCTTAACTGCTGAGCCACCTCCCCAGCCCCTCTTTACTTTATTTTTAAGATCAACTTATTGTACATGCATCTGTGTTTGTGTATGAGTGTGCCTCTGTGTGTGGATGCATGCTTGTGTGCAAATGCCACAACACCTACCTGGAGGTCATGTGACAGCTTGTTGAAGCCAGTTCTCTGCTTCCACCACGAGTATCCAGGGATTGAACTGAGGTTGTCAGCTATGCCTTTACCGGCTGAGACATTTCTGACCATCATTTTATTATTTGTGTGTGTGTATGTGTGTGTGTGTGTGTGTGTGTGTGTGTGTGTGTTGTATGTATGGTATGTGTGAAGATCAGAGGACATCTCTCTGGAGTTGATTCTCTCCTATGAGTTCTAGAGATCCAGCTCAGGACCTCAGGCTTGTGTAGACTTTAACCTACTGAGCCATCTTGCTGACCCAAAACTTTAACATTTTTTTTTATTTGTTTGGTTTGAATTTTTGGAGACAAGGTCTTGTTATTGTCTGTGCTGTCCTGGATCTCACTATTCAGCTTAGGCTGGCTGAATGCTGGGATGACTGCATGGCCATGCCCAGTGATGACATCTTACTCATCTGTTCTTTTTCCTTTGTTTCTGATCCATCACCAAAGCTCATGACTGACCTCCGCACCCTCCCCCCTTTTTCTTTTGTTATTGGATCTTGAACTCAGGGTTATTGGGGGCTAGGTAACTGCTTGACCACTGAGCTATAATCTCAGTGCTGGTCCTACCTTTTCTTCTAAGAGTTTCGTAGTGTCAGCTCTAGACTACCTTAAGTTTTATAGCATAAGAAAGGGTTCAGTTTCATTATTTTGCATGTAGATACCAGTTAGATTTCATCAGCTATTGTCTCTGTGCTAAGCACCACTCACAGAAGCTTTGCAGGGAGGTGTAGGCATGGTGAGTATGGTCAGGCAGTGGCTGTGCACACCTTTAATCTCAACACTTGAGAGGCAGAGGCAGATGGATTTCTGAGTTCAAGGCCAGCCTGGTCTACAGGACAGCCAGGGCTACACAGAGAAATCCTGTCTTGAAAAACCAAAAAAAAAAAAAAAAAAAAAAAAGAAAGAAAGAAAGAGAGAAAGAGAATGATAAGCATGAACACCCAGATGGTTCTCTTTCACAGTTGCTTTGGCTGTTCAGGGCTCCTTAGTTTTCCATGTTGAATTTTAACATCAACTTCTGAAAAAAAAAAAAAAGAAAGAAAGAAAAAAAAGGTATCTGAGGTATTTCTAAGGGTTTCATTTCAGCAGTATGCCACCAGGAATGTGGAAAACCTAAATCTTGTTCTCTTTTCCTTCTTTTTCTACCAACCAAATGCCTGCCCTCCCTCCCTCCTTCCCTCTGTGCTTTTGTGTGTTGGGGGATAATGTGCATGGTGTGTCAGAGGACAGCCCTCATGTGGAGTTAATTTTTCTCCTTCTACCTCGCAGGTGTCAATGATCAAATGCAAGTCGTTAGGCTTGGCAGTGAGCACTTTGACCTGCTGAAGCACCTACATATTCTATGATAGAGAATTATTAGCCATAATATTACTGCATTTGGAATCAAAGCCAAGCCCTTGTGCATCTGACCATAATTCTTATTTCATTCTGTAAAGCATTGCTGTTAGTAGTTCACAAAAAAACTTACATGTAAATTATGAACAAACATTAAAGATTATGGTGGTGTTTCAGATGTTTGATACCATCCAAAATGGACTCTGTTCTTGGCCTTCTAAATCATCACGTTTAGCCTTTTCAGTATAACTATGGTTGGGTAGATCTCTCCCTCTGACTGTGTGTGTTGGGGAACATTACATGTAAGAGTGTATATGTACCTGTGCGTGAGTGTCTGGAGGCCATAAATTGGCATTGTTTGTTTCTCTGAGTCAGGGTCCCTCCCTGAGCCTGGAGCATGAGCTCGGAGACCCGGTTGCTGACTCCCAGTGCAGAGTTACAGGTACACCTCACTACACTCTGCTCTGCACATGGGCTCTGGGCTTCCGAGCTCAGGTTCTCTTGCTCGTGCAGTGAGTACTTTGCTCAGCCAGTGCCTTTGCAAGCCCTGCGGCTAGCTTTTATAAGCTAAATTAACTTTTTGGGGGTCTAATGAGAATAGAGATCATATTGATAAGAGGCATTTGCTTAATGGACCCCTGCTTTATCTTTCATCTCACAGGCACAGTAACTGTATCTTTGAAATAGTAACCAAATGTCACCTCCTTCACTCTCTTCCTTGTCCTCTTAGTGCAGTAGCATTTAAAGACTGCACTGTCAAATGAACAGTCTGGGCAGTTTTTAAAGTGAGATGTTGAAAACTCCATTGCCGCCAGCAGCTCCCTAATCTCCTCCCGCCTGTCGCCATGAACTCCTTCTCCTGTGTCCCTTAGTAGCTACGCTATAAGGTTTTCTTTATATGGTATTTTGTATCTTCGTATTAATTAAATTGTACACTAGATACTTATTCAGATTGCTTTGACTTGGAATATATTTCAGATTTTGTGTCCTGCTAGTTGTAATAGCAGGATTTCTTTTTAATGCCTTGTGTCATCAATAATGTGTGCATGCTTCATCCTGTTGAAGGGTCTTTGCATCATTTTACAGTAGTGTGAGTAACCCCGTTATTCACAGGAGATTTTACACAAATCTTTATGTGGACATAGTTTGTAAAAACCTGAATTGAGATTGCTTGATCGTGTTATAAGTACTTCTGGGTTTAAATTTTATTTTGGGAGGTAAGCTTTCTTGGACTGAGCTGAGTGTCATGGTTAGACCCTCAGAACTCTATTCCTGCTTGGCCAGACTAAACTGGGCACTGTGTGGCCTCCAGAATTTTCATTCAGCACAAAGCATTTTGACAGTCCCCCCCACCCCCCGCAAGGTCTCAGAACATTTTGTCATGTAGTAAAGCTTTTTGTCCAGCCTTGGACTTGGGGTGCTTACTGAACTTTCTAGAACTTGCTCTCGTACCTCTCTCCTATAGTGCTTAGCTGCAGATTCTAGCTGCCTTCTCAGCCCTGCAGCCTGGTCCCCTTTCTTCATCCCAGTGGGCTTGCTTGCTGTGATCGATGTCTGCCTGTCTATGTGGGAGCCCTGAGTGCATCTGTGGACAGAGGCCATGCTGACTGCTGACACACCTTAGTGCTCTCTCCCCTCCGGGGCCATTCCTGGGCTGCTGCTGTCTGACTCCCCAAACGGTTCTTATTTTGTCTACTTTGTAGATTTTTATGGTGAGAAGGCTAGCCAGTTACTAACTTTGCCACATCTGGAAGGGGCAGTCAGTACCATTTAATTTTAAAATCCTATGTGTGGCAGTTAGGAACTATATTTTATTAAAAAATAGAATAAAGTAAAATTCATAACATTCTTATTAGCATCAATATTTATCTTGATTTTACTTGAATATATAAAATAGACATATTAGTTAAATTACATTGTGAATTTCCAACTATTTTCTATGTCAAAACTTGAAAATAAAAATTTAACTGAACTGAGTCAGTGCTGTGATGGCTATGTCATTGGTTTAGGGCTATATCATTTTTTTGTAAGGCATAAAAATAAAGTTTAATTTGGCTTTATGCCTTTTTTCTTTCAAACACATTAAAAATTGTGATTTTTTTTTAAGAGTACATAACAGAGTAGGAAAATGGGTTATATTTTAGCATTAGCAAGTGTCTTACCTAAGAATATTCTCTAACTGGAGTGTCTGTTATTTTAGAATGCTGAGGCTTGGAACAATTTATCCACTTCCTATATTCGACTGAAGCAAAAGTAAGTACGTGAGACAAATGTGAAGAACTTCATTTTCCCTTAAAATTGTAAGGTTTCTCTACCTGAATACTTAAATCTGTGTCTAACTCTCTTTCCTATCCTTCCTTGTATGTAAGTTAGAATAGCTTAAGTATCCTTTGAATTCTAATTGTATAGTTATTTCTTGAAAACATTTAATGCATGATGAAGTATATATTATAAATATCTCTTGAAATTGGTATTTACTGCCAAAGTTTTTCACCCTACATTTCATTACATGATAAAAACAAACATACCTTTAGTTGGTCAACTCAACTGGTAGTTTTCTTATTAACTGTTTGTCTTAGAGATTTTTATAAAATGGAAATAGAACTCATCTTTTCTGGAGATGTAGATTTAAGAACTAAAACAATATTGCAAAAATTGATTAGTGATACAAGCTGTGTATGGTGACATGAGAGGAGAATGCAAAGGGAGCTGCGGTAGAGCGGGCGCCTGTCTGTGAGGGAGCTGCGGTAGAGGGGGCGCCTGCCCCGTCTGTGAGGGAGCTGCGGCAGAGCGGGCGCCTGTCTGTGAGGGAGCTGCGGTAGAGGGGGCGCCTGCCCCGTCTGTGAGGGAGCTGCGGTAGAGGGGGCGCCTGTCTGTTCACCTTTTGTGTGTCGGGAATTAGCCCTGTGGAGATCTCAGAAGAGAAGGTTTGTGATCCTGGTTCAAAGATGCTTGTCTAATACTGAAGCTAGGTTGGAAGGACCTGTGGAAAAAGAGGCCTTTTGGGCAAAGGAAGTGATGTGGCCGAATGTAGAGTGACACAAATGAGTGGATTATTTTAGGAGGTGGCAGTAAAATAATAGTCCAGCTGTGGAGTAGTGTGAGCTCTAACGGAAAGGAAGGAAAGAAAAGTAGGTTGTGCTTAGCTCACTGTGTCTCATCCCCTGATACATTGAAACCATCCTGTTGGGACTAGCCAGAGAGTTTGGTAGGGAACTCAACAGAGAAGTCTTTAGAGAGATTTCCAGGAGGCTGTGTATGAGGTCGGGTAGACAGGAAACTGGAAGCTGGGGTAAGCAGTCCAGACACTTAGTAACTAGAGTAGACTAAGAATCGGCAGGTGTCAACAGCAGCCCAGCCGGCTGTGAGAGTGAAGGGTAGATACGGGAGAGAGAGGAAGGATTGCAACTGCCAGAGCTTTAATGTCTGATGAGAGGGGGAGCTTCCCATTTGTACTTAGCCCTGCTTTCAGACTTGGTATGTGTTGCGAAGTCACAAAATATTCCTGAAGATACTAAGACCATTTTACATTGAAATCATGAAATGCTTCCGCTGCTGCTCTTGGATGTCAGTTTGTTCTACTGTTCTCTTAAAAATGCTGCTGTTATTGATTACAGTGGTTAGTGTTGATGTTTACTGGATACTGGCTCTCTAGGGCAGTTGGAATCGGTTACAGTGGGATCTATCTGGTCAGTGTTTTCTGAGATAATGTTGTATGTAGTGAGGCTCTTTTTTTAAAAGATTGATTTATTTCTACTCCATGTGTCTGAGTCTTTGCTTGTATGGATGTGTTCCATGTTCATGCCTGGTGCCCACAAAGGCTAGAAAAGGGCATTAGAACTCCTTGGAACTGGACTTACAGATGGTCTTGAGTACCATGTGAATGCTGGTAACAGAACCCAGGTCTTCTTCTAGAGCAGCCTGAGTTGTCCTCTTTCATTTATTTGCTGTGACTCTAGACATAAGCAATGTTTGATTCATGAAATTATTTCAGAGATAATTACTGTTCCCCCCATAACAATATTTATATCCTAAAATGGTTTCATCTGTTGTGTTGTGAGCACTGCAGTGCCCTTTCTCCTTTCTGTCTGATCTCCCCAGGTATCAGGGCCCTTGGAAACATTTCGTTCATAGTCTAGCTTCTCCAGTGTTCGTGCTGGACCAGTGAGACCGAGATGAAACTTCTTAGGAAAAAGCTATTCCTACCAACAGAGAAATGCAGACAGTTCATTTCAGTGTGTGTGTGCACGTGTGTGTAGAGGATGGGTGACAGCTCTGGGTGTTAGCTTCAGAAACAACCATCCGCCCCCTTTCAAACAGGGTTTCTCATTGGCCCAGAGCTCACAAATTAGGCTAAACTGACTGGTCAGTGAATCCCAGGGATCCTCTGGGCCCCACCTCCTCCAATTGAGATTATAAGTCGACATCGCCATACCCATTATTTTTTTGTTGTTGCTGTTATCAAATACTGTTTTTTTGTTGGAAATTTTCTTTATTTATGTTTCAAATGTTATTCCCTTTCCCAGTTCTCCCTTCTCCCAGAAACCCCTTATTCCATCCCCTCTCCCCTGCTTCTATGAGGGTGCTCCCCCACCCACCCACCGATTCTTGCCTCCCCACCCTCGAATTCCCATACACTGGGGCATTGAGCCTTCACAGGACCAAGGGCCTCTCCTCCCATTGATGCTTGACAAGGCCATCCTCTGCTACATATGCAGTTGGAGCCATGGGTCCCTCCATGTGTACTCCTTGGTTGGTGGTTTAGTCCCTGGGAGCTCTAGGGGTGGGGGTGGGGGTCTGGTTAGTTGATATTATTGTTCTTCCTATGGGGTTGCAAACTCCTTCAGTCCTTTCTCTTAACTCCTCCATTGCTGACCCCATTGGAGACCCCATGCTCAATCCAATGGTTGGCTGCAAGAATCCACCTCTGTATTTGTCAGGCTCTGGCAGAGCCTCTCAGGAGACAGCAATATTAGGCTCCTATCAGCATGCACTTCTTGGCATCCACAATAGTGTCTGGCATACCCATTATTTTTATGTCGGGGATCAAACCCAGATTCTTGTGCTTATAAGATGAATGCTTTGTAGATAAAGCCAGCTCCCTACTTACCCCCTCATTTAAAGTTTTGGGCTCAGGAACCTGTGATTGGGGACACACAGGTATCCTGTATCATTGATTGTTGCCTGTCAAATTGCTCTCCAAGAAGATGACTTGATTCCCACTCCTTTGTAAGTAGGAGAATGGAGGAATCTCAATACTTGCTCTTACAAGAGAAACAAGTGGTAAGAGATAAAGAAAGGAGGAGACAGTCCATACAAACAATCCATTTGCGTTTTGAAAGCTACTTCTTTTTTTTTTTTCCATTTTTGAAATTTCTTTTTATTTTTACAAGGACGGGTCCTTTAGTAGTTCTTTAAGTTATGTTCAGTCAATACTACCTCAGTCTTTGTACATTTAAATGTGTTTGATTTTTCATTTCTTTTTGAGTGGCAAGTTTAGCTGGTTATGAAAGTTTAGGCTATCTTCACTTGACATGTTGGTATTACTTATTTTATTGTTTTCTATCATCTTGTTGCTGATGAAATACCTCCTGTTTTCCAGTAGTTACTCTTTTTTAAATATTAGGATACCTTCATGTTTTTTAATTTTACTTTATATGTGTATATTGCTTAGAATATTCTGTATACCTTTTTTAGACCAAAGAGTTTGAATCTTTGCTTTGTTCTGAAAAATGTTCAGCTACCATCTTTGATACATAGCATCCTGCCATTCCTGTACTCTGGAATTTCTATCAGATTTATATCTAAGTTTTATTCTTTCCTCTGTTTCCTCATTCTTTTTTTTTTTTTAATCTGCATTTTGGCAAGCTCCTCAGTATTCTTTTTCAATTCACCAGTTTTCTCTTGAGTTACATTTAATGTGGTATTAGGCACATGCTGAGTGCTGATTGTTCTTCTGTTGTTGTCTTGTCCCTGGGCATGTTTTGAAACAAATATGTTCAAAGACTTAGTAGATTACTTCTTTTGTTTTTTTTAAAAAAAAAGCATACAAAGAATAAGGTTTCATTATGGAACTTTTCAAACAAAATTAGTTTTTGTTATTCCTCTCTCTACTCTGCCCTTCCCTCTCTGTTTGTCCAGGTATCTGCCTTTATACTTGAATGTCATGTGTGTCCTTTTGCACACATCTCCCACTCTGCCTACCTAACACCTCTTGTTCCTCTCTGATGGACTCCTAGTTTTGATAGATTACTTAACAGTAGCGCAGGGTCTGGAGAGATGGGTCAGTGAAGAATGCACTGGCTGCTTGCTCTTCCAGAGGACCTGGGTTCAATTTCTAGTGCTCACATGGCAGTCCACAGCCATCTGTAACTCCAGTTTCAGGAGATCTGATCCCTTCTGTTGGCCTCCACATGCATCAGATATGTTCATGGTGCACAGACATATAGATAGGCACATAAAATAACAAAAAATTTATTCAAAAAGTTGACCTTAAATTTAATAATTTTATGTCCTGTTGGGTAATGTTGTTTACTGTCCTATCTTTGTATAGATTTTCCCTGCCCCAAGTTGTAGGATTTATTTTATAGATTTATTTAGAGTGGAGGAGATTTTTGTTTTATTTTGACCTCATGTTCTCCCTGGCCACTGCCCTGCTTCCCACTATTTGTGTTGAGAGATTGCAGCCTTACTTGGCGGTTTACTCTAGGTTGAAGTCTGGAACTTGGATCTACTGTTTCTTGGGGGCAGTGTTGAAGTTGATGTCTTGTTAAAATGTTCTTGTTAGTAGGAAATAAATCAAGGAAGACATATTAACATAGGGTACTATGTGTTCCTCAGATCATTATTGAACTGTATGGTGGTTTTGTGTTATTTGGGCATCTGATTCCCAAGTGATGTATTTATACAAGATGGAAGAGAAGTGCCTTAGGGTTTTACTGCTGTGAACAGACAACATGACCAATGCAAGTCTTGTAAAGGACAACATTTACATGGGGCTGGCTTACAGGTTCAGAGGTTAGTCCATTATCATCAAAGCAGGAGCATGGCAGCATCCAGGCAGGCATGGTGGAGGCAGAGCTGAGTAGGAGAATACTGAGTTCTGGGCAGCTAGGATGAGGGTCTTACAGTCCACACCCACAGTGACATACCTGCTCCAACAGGGCCACATCTTCTAATAGTGCCACTCCCTGGGCCCGAGATATTCAAACCATAACAAATAGCTATTCACATTCATGTTCATATGTGGTTAGCCATGATTTGTCCTAACTGGAAAGACTTGGTTGTTCATTTCTTTGAAATTTAACCTTCCACAGAGTCAAAGCTTTTAGAACGTTACAGGAAGCTCTCAAGTGTAACTACGAACACTGGCAAATCTGGGAAAACTACATTCTCACCAGCACTGATGTTGGGGAGTTTGGGGAAGCCATCAAAGCTTACCACCGGCTCCTGGACCTCAGAGACAAATACAAAGATGTTCAGGTAGGTAACATTTTGTTATTTTAGTTTGGGTTTTGTACTGAACCTCTATTCTGTGATATAAGTTGTTTTCTTTACTGTGAAACATGTGTAGTATATGTAAACAGCATTTTTGTTCTTTAGTTAGTTTTTCCAGTTACTTATAGTTAGTGGCATTTCAACGTTAACTGTCTTGGTGCCATCACACACAGTATTGCTGCAGCTCAGGTACACCAATCTGACTGACGTACAGTTTACATGCATACTGTCAACGTACAGAGATGAAGTAGAAAGTTCTTTGCACTACTTACTACTCTGGGTAACTCATGCCCTCTGTGGTTTGTAATAGTAGGAGTAAATTCTGTATGTATTCATGTAGTGTTTGCTACGTTCTTTCTGAGGGTTGTTTACAACACTTAAAGACATAGTCGTTTTGGTTATGAAGTTATTGTTAAAGAAAGCATTGGAGATTTGCATCCACTGTGTTTGGTATCTAATAGAATTAAGCAAACAAGACCTTTTGGGCTGAATTATGATAGAAATGGTGTACAAAGAGAAAATACTCAAGGGCTTATGGGTTATGAATTGAGAAGTCTGGAAAAGTACTTAACTCCTCAGGCCTTGTAGCAGTCAACATAAGCTATTTAAAGTGACTGATTGGAAATGACCAAGACAGTATAGAGCACACACAGATGTCACATCAATATATGATAATTCCTTGTGAATCTCATGACATAAATATCTCAGTTCCAAATAGAGCTTATCAAGTCCTGCATTAATGCCCTATGTTTAGCTCATTATGTGTCTTGAAAGCACAGCTGGCCGAGTTAACTTTAAGGCTTGGGTTTACTGGGAAAATCTATAACTTCAAATAAAACTACCCACATGGAAGAGAGGTACAAACTTTCTGCTTGTTCTCTTTCTTTTTCTCTTCTTCCACCATCTTTTCTTTATAAATGTTGTTCATTGTAGAAAGAAGGGATGACATTTTTTAGAGTATAGAAATTGCTTTAAATGCAAGCCTGTGTTAAGCCAGTCTGATACCATTTTTCTGTTGTCATTTGCTTTTAATTTGTTACTCATCCACGTTCTTTCTGGTGTGAGTGGGATTGCTCTTCTAGTCTGTCCCTCAACCCTCAGTAATACCCCTATCCACAAACAACTAGTATCATTGGCTCTCTGGCTTGCCTTTGAGGATCCAGGAAAGGTCCTGACCATTCATGCTTGACACCAAGAGGAGATAGTTCTATAAGGAGAATCTAAGTGGCCCAGTCTAGAGCCTTCCCTTGTAATAGATTAGGAGCTGGACTTGTGTGGTGGGTGGAATGTAAGCACAAAAGGTGGGAACCTTTTCTCTTTTCTTTGCTACTCACCCTTCCCTGTGTTCTAAGGAATAGTGGGCAGGTCAGATGGAATGAGGTAAAGTCATGACTCACATTTTTCACTGTGTTGGATACTATTCTGGTACTTTGCATGTATTAGCTCATTTAAAAATTCTCACCACAACTGTGTGGCATGCATTTATGCTATTGTAGGATATATGTGACAATGGAAAGTATGTGTATATGTATCTCCACTCCCTATCACTTTTCTAATTTTAAAGGAACTGATAGTTTAGATAAAATCGCCTTTTAAAGATTATTTTGAAAATACATTTCTTTTATGTCATAAAGAGTTATGGAGTCACTATGGTAATGCTGATTTTCATTTACTGTGGTCTACTAATTATGCTAAAACAGAGATAAGTATTTCAGAAAAAGACAAGAAAATACAGAACTGTTGTTCAGAAAGAAACAGGTTCTGTCTAGATGATTCCTGTCTCCTGCAACTGTAGTAGCTGAATGGACTTGTCATGTTCGCATTTCTTTCCTAACCTATCACCAGTGTTGGAGCCTTGTTATTCATGTGTAGACAGTTCTGTCATGGTCGGGAGTGTATGGGTGACAGGAAATGGGAGCCACAGTGGTAGGTTTTAACAAAAGCACTCTTGAGAGTAATTGTTGGATTCTAAAGATAAAACTCTCGAGTTATGTATTTGGCATGTTCTATATCACATCAAAATCCCTGGAATTATAAAACATTAACTTAGCCATGCTTCAGGAACCTTTCTCAAGTAGCAGTAAAAGGACCTAGGAAGCATATTTTAGGAGTATCTTTAAGCGTGTTTCAGAAAAGGAACAAAAGTCCTAACCATAACTGTCCCAGCACACATTGACATGTTTTAACTCTTGTCCTGTGGTGCTGAGAATTGAACCCAGGGCCTTGCACATGCCAGACAAGAACTCAACCGTTGAGTCACATCTCCAGCTTTTATCTTAAGTGGATTTAAAAAATAAAAATAAAAAACATGTTCTAGTGGTCATATTAGTAACTTCTCACTTCTCTAATCAAATAATTTTCTTTCTTTTCATGGGAGGTGGGGTAGGGGCCGGGGGACAAGGTCTCTCTACCTAGCCCTGGCTATCCCATAACTCACTATGTAAACCAGTCTAGCCTTGAGCCAACCTCCTGAGTGTTGGGATTAAAGTCCTGGCTTCATGCAAAATTTTCAACCATAGCTGAATTGTGTTGGTTTCTGTTTACAATCTTCTAATCCTGTGTGTGTCTGAGCACATTGTCTAATATGAACTTCTGTGAAAATGTAGTTGTTAGCTAGATAAAATTATTATACTTTATTTACATTCATGGCCAGTTAACATTTTAATAAACTTTTTCTCTCATTATTCCTTTGTTTCTCAATATTAGAGTGTAAAACAAACATTCTCTCATATAGTGACATTTTATCTAAACATGAATATTTTAAAATTTATTTTATTTGTATGGTATTTCACTTGCATGTATGTCTTTGTACATGTATGCAGTACCCATTTAGGCTAGAAGAGGGTATTGGATCACCTGGAACTGGAGTTTCAGATAGCCGTTAGCCTCCATGTGGCTTCTGGGAATTGAGCTTGGGTCATCTGGAAGAACAACCGGTGCTCCTAACCACTCAGCCGTCTCTACAGCCCATACGCGTGAATATATTTTAATAAATTTAAATTAGTTTCATCCAAAGTTGAATGTTTTTTGGAACAACCAAGGGTAGCCTTTGGGTTTTAAGACTGCCCCCTGCAGTCCCACTAAGTGCACTGGAGACAAAGCAGTTCTGTAAAATGTGCATGAGGCATGTAGAGAACATGATGTGCTCTGCAGGTGTCAGATGTGACATACGTTGGCTTGATATGCACCTGTGGACCTACTGGGAGATAGTCATTTCTGATAGCCTGTACCATTGCAGCACACTGAGAATGCCATTTCTAGATAACCGGCAACTTGCTCAGGCTAGGCTGCTCTCATTAGCACCTCATTGATTCTCAGACATTCAGCCATAGCAATAATGTGGGAAGACCATGTCTCTTTTTGCATCTTACAGAAGCCCTGTGAAGGAATGGCTCTCTGTAGAAATATCATACAATTCTAATGCTCTGGTAAGTTCTGCAGCTGTGGCAGGATCTCTTTGCAGTGCCTGGGTTATCACTGGCACAGCATTTTGTGACTAGCAATAGGCTTTGGCTATCTAGCTTCATGACACACTATCAGCATGCATGACAGCAGCCAATGAATGTCTCTTCCTTCCTGTGTCCTTTTGGTGCTTGTGATGGTTTGTATACGCTTTGGCTAGGGAGTGGCACTATTAGGAGGTGTGGCCTTGTTGGAGTGGTGTGTCACTGTGGGTGTGGGCTTTAATACCCTAGCCCTAGCTGCCTGGAAGTCAGTATTCTGCTAGCAGCCTTCAGATGAAGATGTAGAACTCTCAGCTCCTCCTGTACCATGCCTGCCTAGACGCTGCCATGTTCTTGCCTTGATGATAATGGACTGAACCTCTGAACCTGTAAGTCAGCCCCAACTAAATGTTGTCCTTATAAGAGTTGCCTTGGTCATGGTGTCTGTTTACAGCAATAAAACCCTGACTAAGACAGTGCTCCTAACCCTTATACCTTTTTATAGATATGGATTGTAGTGATTTAATTTTTTTCCCATTGTGAATATATAAAGTATATAAATGTATATTTATGTTAATACAGACAATGATATAAACTAGAGAGAGAGTATCCTGGTTTTTTTCTCTTAGTATTTGTAAAAGGAGTAAGTGGATTGAGTGTATTACCTGTATATATTGTTGTTGTTGTTTTCTTCAATTTTATTTTGAGTGAAATATTAGATTGGTAAAACTTGGGAACAGCATTCTGTAATGACACTACTTTTCTAACATCTGTACTTTATAACATCTGTGCTTACATATATATTCTTACTTAGTGGTCATGGAACCTGACTTTGTGTTCGTTAGTCTTTATTCAGTTTCCAGGTTCTATTCTAATGAAAAGTGAACAGCCAGGTGCACAAGTCCTTGTGCAGTTGCTGCTTCCCCTGGGCACGTTCTGTGGTCCACATTTCTTCCTGGTTTCTTGTTTTTAGTCTTATTCTTGGTAAGTTGGCAGGCATTTGGAAAAGGAATTTAAGTTTTATATATTAACATCTTATCTGTTTGGGGGAGTAACACATACTGAGTGGTTAATATGTTCTTGCCACTTAACACAGGTCATCTTTATAGAGCACATAGTATACTAAAGATTCTTCAAGGTGCAGACTATTGCAGTGGGGCCCAGAAAGTGGATATGGTTAGTGGGAATTGAAGGATAGCATCACATGGAAGTGTGCCTTAGTGTCTGAGGGAAGATTTATGTGAGGTACGATGTTTCCTCATGAGATTAATATGCATGTGAATTGTTTCTAATAAAGTTTTCTTAACTGAGGTGTCAGTTAATAAATAATCCCCATGTAATAAGACAGGGAGATTTTTAGCTTCATACATTGACTGTTATATATTCTAATATAACCCAACTCCCATTTCTGTCACTGCAGAGTCCTCTTATGTTCCATTTTAGTCACTTCAGCCACCACCCTTTCCCCAAGTAAGAAACAAGCTTGAGATTTCTGTCACCACAGCTCACTCTCACTTTTCTCGAGTATCCCATACCGATCCT